TGGGCGTGCAAATACGGTGCAAAACTCGTTTGAATACGCATGCGACGCTGATGAGGCGTGACAGCGTATCGTGAGGCCCATTGTCAGTGACCTCCCCGTGTAGAGTAGGCGTGTGGCGTGTTGCTTTTGCAAAAAAAAAACTCAGAATTTTATTTCTTTGCACAAGAAAGCCCCTGACTGTTGCGAAAACCAGTTGTAGCACAAATTTTATATTAAAATGAAAAATAACATAAATTAAGACAAAGACTTGAACTGCATACTTGGACCATCCAATCGCTCGGCTAGCCACCCAACCTCTACACCATTTGACGGCTTGGTGGATACACATATCTTATATCTTTTGCTTAAACAACATAAATGAATAATTTTACTAATTCCGAATAAATGCTGCCTTGGGGGATCTAACATGAGCCAAAACATACTGTGTTTGTCTTCATTTGTAGAATTTGTGAAATATATATAAATCCTAATTATAAATAATATACATATAAATAAAATAAATTCCATAAAAAGATGCTCATTTAATTCCAAAAAATGCCCACGTATTAATTTAAAAATATACATAAAATTAAATTACGATTTATACAAATGTTTGTATTAATTTTTAAAAGTGTTTGCATATTAGATAGAAATATTAAATTAATTTTATAATATATATATATGTAAATAAATTTACTTACAAGTTCAAACTTTCACAAGTTTATAAATAAAATATTCATGTAGTATATAAAAGTGTTGATGCTTGAAATGTTTCTTATGTTACTTTATAAGTTTTTATGTGTTTTGTTAAAGTTTGTCTGTGTTGAAAAATAAATTAACTAAATACAAATAGATGTATGGGAAAAAGATATGAGCCTAATGTGTCACCTGCCGATGGTGCGGCGGTCCATTTATAACAAGGATTCACATTTTTTTTATAACAAGGGTTCACATATTTTTTACAACTTTAAAGATTAAAAGAAAAAAAAACTCACGTTGAAAATAAGCCGTACTAACTGCAGGCCATTTTTTGCCCATGAGCGCGGTCGGTTGTAGACATAAAATGTAACAATCGTATGTAGAGAGAAAATGCCTTTGTTGTGGTGGCATGCCTGTCAGATTGTGTCCCGCAGGTCCCGTGTTCTAACCATCATGTCCACATCTTTTTGTTGGAATTAATAAAAGTCTTAATTTATGTTATTACATGCAACGATATAATGACGGAGTTAGCTGCGCGGTTCGGCTAGCGGAGGTCGCGGTACGATTCCTCGAGCGTGCAATATTTTCATTCTAACATAACTTGTGCTCTTTCGCTGATAATGTGTCCCGCACCTGTCAAGGCTTTTTTACGCAATAAAAAAAGTAGAGGGTGTTTTCGCAAAAACAACACGCCACACGCCTGGTCTACACTACCCGGTCAATGACAATGGGCCCCCACGCCATGCTGTCATACTTCGTCAGCGCCACATGCGTATACAAACGAGTTTTGCACCGTATTTGCACGACGAGCCAAGTTGTGGCACCAGTTCAATGTATGATGCAAGTTTTGGTACTAAAGTGATTTTCCTAACCTAGTTTAAGCACCGGTGGTGTAATTGACTCATATAGAAACTCTATTAGTGACCCAGAGTGAAGAATAAGTAATTCCTCACCCCGGTCAATCGACCGAGCTCGTTTCGTCGATGGCACCGGGCTCACGGCTCAACCGATCGAGAAAGACTCCACGGCACCGCTTGTTGGTGAGGTAATATTCTATTTCTATCGACCTAAATTTTCTGCCCTTTTTGTCTTGACTGAAACCGATTTCTGATGGTGGGATAGCTAACCCACGACCCTATCTCCCCCGTTCCTATTCTAATTCAAGCGGTTTGACGTTGGGCAGCAGCTTACTTGCGACGTCAACATAGCAGACGGCTGCACGACGGCTTGGTTGTCGGCGGCATGGGTTGCGGCGGCTTGGCGAGCGGTGGGGCGCGCCGCCGTGGGTAACGGTGGTTAACTACGGTGGTGGTGTGCCATGGCGTGGTGGTCGTCGGCGTGGTGCTTGGCTGTTTATCTCGGCGGGAATGTCAGCGGCGTGTGGCCTCGGTGCCAGGCAACGAGGCGGATTTTTTGCGGATGTGCTTCGGGTGGTGCGAGCCAGGGCTGCATGCTGAAGTAAGAGTTGGTGTGTTCTTCTGCCACTGATCCGAGTTGCTCTTTTTTCCGTCCTTTGAGGTTTTCCAAAATGCTTACAACCATAGTCTATTTGATTAATTTCCCTGGCCTAACGTCCTTCGTAATTAATTTACATTTGTAGTCAACTTTGTGTCTGTGTTGATATTGCTCACAGCCTGTTTGTTCGAATGTCCCCAAGGCATCATATTTTTCATCTTCAAGAATATCCATTGGGCTCTTCCATTTAGTAGCATTTTAATCTGACTCAGGTTTTGCAAATTAGTTGGTTTACAGAATATTGGTTATTCTGGCAGGGCTGATCTAGATAAAAGAAATGTTGTCAGGCGTCGGCAGCATGCTGCATGTACTAGTATTTGTTTCTTTGATTTTACAGATGCCTAATAATTCTGGTCCTTAAACACACCTCTTTCATACCACCTTTTGGATGTGCTATAGCTACAGATAATCTCCCTTGTCTCAATTCACTTAACCCTAGGGGAAGGATGGCATGTCTTTGTTTTTAAGAACCAAACATGACTGATTCCAACTATCAATTTTTCATATTATAGTTTAACACCCATAGTGGCTGACAGATCTTTACTAAACGTGACTGTGCAGAGTGATCTTCCTTGGTACTGGAACCCTATAGTGAAACACTGTTAGCTTGAACACTCCAACGGTCATAAATCGTGATATGGGACAACTCAATGCATGAAACCATTGCATTGGCTTCGGAGTGTGGTGCGGATTGACGGTGGGATGGCAGACGGTAGTGTCACGGGTGCACTGGAAGCGCTCTGGTACATAAGAGTTCAGATTAGATAGTTGTAATTGATTTTGAGGGCTTATAAGAAAGTGTGTGTTAACTGTTTCCAAAACCTCTCTCTTTTCTTCTCTTAGGCTTGGTGATGGCCTGCGGCACCTTTTTGTGCCGTGTTAACATCATATTCATGTAATTTGACCTTCGGTCACCCGGGGCCACCCCGTTTTCAATGAATAAGGTAGAAAATCATCTACCTTCTCTTTCAATAAAAAGAGAAAGTGTGTGTTTTAAATGATTACCGGTGCAAGTTGTTCTGTTTTTCTTTTCTTGATTAGTTTGCATAATTTTTTGAGTTATAAATTGTAAGCAATGTTCTTTGCTAGGTATAGTGTATATTTGGCCAATACTTGCGCTGGGCAAGCTCACTGGACAGTTAGACTTGAAGCAACCTTGATATCCATTAGTAGTATTATTGATGTTGATACAGCAGCCTTCGTTTGTTTGAAGGGTATGCCCTTTCCTAGTTTTTTCTTCTATTTCACTTGATCCAATTTGACTTTGCCATGTAACTGTAAAAACGTAGCCTTTTTTAGTTTGCTGTCATTTATCTTGAAACTACTTTGCCTATAGGTGTATGATGGGTTATTATAAATTTTTACTTATTTCCAATGAGTATAGTAGTTTTTTCGCAAAAAAAAAATGAGTATAGTAGTTGTCCTGTTTGGTGTGTACATCAAGAGACTCCTCCTGCGGAAGCCGGTCAGAACTTAGGAGCTATCCATCTTATGGTGTAACTACTGCTAGGAAACCTTAAGATTGCCATCAATGTCACAGAATCACCCTGATAAAAAATGTGTCAGATCACAAATCAACAGCGAGCTTATTTATTTTTATCTCTGTCAGAGTAACCATCATAAATTTATAGACACGCATGCTTCCCCTACGTTGCATGTTTGTTGAATGAAAAAGCATTCAGCTTGTTTGCATTTTTTCAGACAAGTGATTGAAAGGAAGTAAATCATGTCATCGTGTTATCCATTTTCTGTTTCAGCCATGTGGCTGTACTCCTTCGATTAACGTAAGCTATAAGAAGACTCTCGAGGGTGCTTTAGCATGTGCTTATGCGACTCTTTCGCTGGCCAAGACCACTGTTGAGGTATTGCTCACTTCTGACACATTATTTTAATTATTATCCTAGTTATGAAACATCACCTTTATTGTACAGATGCAGCCGCTGAAGCGGAAGTTAACCACTATCCATTGCTTACTTTGATATCCACGTACATCGAATTTGCAGCATTGAAAAGATGGTTTGTATGGATGCATCAGAGGACATGTGGACTCCAAAATCTATGATATCAATGCTGTGAAGACATTGGAATATTTGCGACTTCTCCTACTAATGATATGCTGATGTACCAAATTCCCGGAGCTGTTTAGGTGACATTATTATAGGACCCTGCTGTTATAAAATAACTCTGAATTGGGCTTTGCTGTCTAATAAAGCATTGTCGTACCCATCTTTAAGAGTTCGTATCCATATTACACATTCATTAATCATCTTTGATACTGTTAGATTTGACTATCAGACGATATGTGCTGTGATTTTCTGGCCATGCTGGCAGTCCTCACGTCCGGGATTCAGACAATGCTGATCGTTTCTTACGTTCACGTCAATTTGTATTATACAATCTTTTTTACGACATATTAATGTTTCGTACGAGCATGGTTGCAACTTATTTTGAAACATTAAAGTTTCTCAGATTAGAATAAGCAGATATTTTTTAATTGCTGAACATGGGTTGGTGATTTACTTTCTTAGGGTATTTTTTCGAATCTTACATTCCCAATTAGGATTCCTACGTTTCATAACTGGGAGGTTGGCAGGCTCGTGCTCCTGTGCTCTTGAGGGCAACTTCTTACGTTGCCTCGGTTTCCTTACCTTTCCATCTATGTTTCTTACCGCATGGTTTAAAGAAAAAAGCCTCACGAATGGGGGTAGGCTCACGATGTAAATAACTCGCATACAGAAGGTAATATTACGGTGTTCCGTTTTGGTTTACGGAACAAAGAGGTTCCCTTTTGACGCTGTAATTTTACTTCACATGCTTTTCTTTCCTACCTTCTGAATTGTGGCCGTGGAAGATGGGTGGGGTGAGGAATAAGAATTTCTGCCAGACGCACTAGCACCTCCATCGCTCACCTTTTTTTTACAGGATCCAGCGCCCATTGAAGTAAAATTTTGCCCGCTCCCACCTTCAGCCGATGTAATTTATCGTTTTGGTATATATGCGTGGACGGTTATTCTTTTAGTCGTGGGTTCGTGGCGTTTCTAATTGCAGGCGGTAGCGGCCGGAGGTCTCGGCGGCGAGCGGCCGCAGCGCGGAGGAGCGTGGTGTCCTTCGGCGGCGATTCCACCGATCCCCTTCGCCTCCGGTGGCTGATTAGGTGTCGGCTTCCTGATGGGAACACGGATCTGTCCACAGAGGTATGTTTTAGGTCTCTACGATCTAGGTTTTGGGGTCCTGATGGTGGTAGGTAGGCTAGGACGAAGCGGAATAAAGGGATCTCTTCGGCCTCTTCCTCGTCCTGCCGGTGTGGCCTGTGTAGATGGCGCCAGGCCGGCGAGGGTAGGGCTCTCGACTTCCTACTTGTGGCGCTTTGTATATGAGTCATGAGCTGGCCGACGTTCCATCCAATTCAAGAGGCTGCGGCCAGTCCAGGGTCTCATGAGCACGGGCAGGTTCCCTGGCCGTGGCTGGGTGATTCTTCCAGCTCACAAAGGCCATGTATGGCGATGGTGCTCCAGACGCCCTTGTATGTTTGGGCTATTTTGGTTTTACTTCCATGTGTGTAGGTGGGGATTGCACGGTAGGAGGAGAGAAACCTCAATCCTAATGCTTTCCGCACCAAACTTCCAATCAACATCCACATACGTTTCACCTGGTCGTGTTCCTCCCAAGTTGCTAATATGGTTTTCAGTTTTTGCAGAGGCTGTAGATAGAAGAGATCATGAGGCTGAACATCCTGTCCAATCAGGTAATTAGAATTTACCATATATCCTTGACTGTGTGCTTGCTTTCGTGCAAGTAACAATTTTTATCAGGAACACCCTGATTTTTGCACAGAGATGGGTGGTCATGGATTCAAAGAAGGCGGAGTAGTCATGTAGTGTCGCTGGTGTTTCTCGGTTTCAGGTTATGTTTGGCCATTGGCATGCATATTGATGCGCCATGCATCTCCTTTCATCATGATGGTCAGCGACCGGGTCTTCGCCGCCGGAGCTGTTCAGTATCACCTACTCTCGGTCAGTATACATAACTACGCAGCAATTTACTCTCTTGAGGCGAATTATTGTGTTTTAAATTTTGATTTCTGTCCAAAATTTAGTTGTTTTCGTCATAGCTAAACTACAATATTAATACTGACATTACAATCTTTTATTTCATTCCAACAATTTAGTTCCTCTCTGTCAGTAGTAGATTGTGTTCTGGTCTAAATTGATAAGCTATGTGGAGTTAGAAGTGTGTTATATAGATCATGAAATCCATGCTTAGGTTCTTTTGTGTGCAGGTTACATTTTCTAGACATATAGGTAGCCAATTACTGGTTTCAGGACTACGTCATAGATTCGTGCATTGCACCATATCATTTCACTAGCTGGTAAGTTGTGCGAAAAGAAGTTAAAAAGCTAATGATCATGGTGTTCAGTGTTATAGACTACAAGCATGCTAGAAAACAAATTCAGAACTAGCAAAAAAAAAAAGAATTGAGTTCGTCGCGATAACAATTTTCAGGAAACAATGGCTATTTCATATATATGATGGTGATTTTTGGCGACTATTTCGGGGAAAAAAACTTAGGCTATGTTTGGTAGCAAAGTATCAGAAAAAACAAAGTATCAAAAATTACAGTAATTTAATCAGTAGGCACACAATACCATAGTTTTAACTTAACAAAGTTTTTCTGGAGTATTCAGAATACAGACCACATGTTTGGCCACAGCACACAATGCTGTAAAATTTGCTGGCTAGCCGTTAATTAGGCTGTCGCATGCTGTAGTAGCGAGATGAAAAAATAGTGGATGGAAGTAGCACCGTGGTGTAGTACTAGAATATATGGATCGACTAGATTAACGATGATTAGCGGCAGCGACGGCGGCGGAGTAATTAGCAAATGGATAATGAGAAGTAGTAGAAGTAGGAGGAAATAAGGATTCATCCTTTGCAGATAGTTTTCGTAGGAAATATGCTAATCAATTTATTAGCAAATGGATAATGGGAACTAGTAGAACTGTACTAATCAATTTGTAGGAAAATACTCCTTTCATTTAAAATATTAGGCATATAGTTTTTGTAACTTTACTTTTAGATATGTTTTCTCTTGTATTCCCTCATTTCTATACTCTCTTTCTCTCCCATATTTATTTACGGATGCTATGGTCATTTCACTGAACATCGTTTTTGTTCTGTGCCCTGTTTAATCCCCATTCTTGATCAAACATAGCTTATAAAAAAATGAAGGGTGATCTAGTTATTTTGTACACACAGTAATTAGTAAGTATTTGTGTTATGTGTGTACGTTGGTACTAGCAATTGCCGATGTGGTAGTTTGATAAATGAAGCTAGAAAACAGCTAGCGGTATCCAGCAAGGATAGGACAGGAGATGTCAAATTTATAAGTTTCCAAATGGCCGCCCAGAATGTGTAATAATCAAGATTGGCGAAATATTCAGTTTGCAGTACACATGTATCACAGCTCAAACATACCAATTACATGTGAATTGCGCTTCTTGTTCTGACATCATTGCATTTCATGATCATCGGTATTTATTTCTATGCAGTTACAACATTAGTTCGAATGGCAGCTGGATTTGGATTTATTGTTAGGCTTACTTTGTTTTTGTGTCCTATAAACAGGGTGAAGCTCGGCGAGAGAGGCCCTATAGTTTACAAATATTCGTGGAGCTCTCACAGTGGCAGACAGAGAGAGGAGCTACTCCAGCATTGCACGGCTGACAGCAAGTGACTAATGCCCTAATCTTGTTGTGTAAATTAATGCAACTAGCGTTAACTTGTAGAGCATCATGTTGTTAGAATAGTTCTAAGGTCACCGTGTGATTTCGTTTACATTTTTGCTTGCTTGCCGGTGTACCAAACAAGATGCAAGATGGCATATAATGTATTTTTACATTGAATCATGGATGGTGCATTGGTGACATTTTCTTTAGAGTATGATGATCATCTTTGTTTTACATCGTCTCCCAACTTTATTTTGTTCTTATGTCGGCTTCAAAATTCCTACATTGGTGGTTGGCAAAATGAGTGGAGTAGTATATTTCTTCGTCAGGTCGCTATGTTGGTGGTTGGCAAGATAACATAATGCACGTGCTGAGTGACGTAAGATGGCGGCGAACAACGATGACCTGAGAAGCATCTCGGCCGAATCGGCTGGCCGACGACGGGGTGCAGGACAACGACCTGGAGAAGCATCTCATCTTGCTCTCCGTAGTCTATCCGCTCTCTATGGTCATTTCTCTGGTAGTTGACTTGAAGATTTCCTTCTTCAAAGAAATTCATTGATGATTGAGCAGAAAAACTGACTTAGAGGGAGTGCCATAGAGCCCGTATGGGCAAAGGTAATTTAAGTAGCTTGTCCGCTGTAAAATTACATGGCAGGCAAAACAAACTAGCTAAGACTACGTTGCATGGAAAAATAAAACTGAATGGGTTCGTCACATGCACGATGTAACTCACCTCCATTCATCTTGTAAAATTACCTCACAAGGCCTTCTGCTTACGGTGGTTTCAGAGGGACACGCTCATTGCTCCAAATTGTAATTTTACCTCCCAGGACCTTTTTCTTTGGGTGCGCTTAGTTGTGGTGTGAGTAGGGTGTATGAAGAGGCTGGGGTGAGGAATAACAATTCCTCACCCGGGGTGACGAATAGCGTATATATATATATATATATATATATATATATATATATATATAGGAAAATGGGTCAGTACTCCTAGGAGTACATACTCCCAGGTCCGGTTCAACCTCCCGTGCGACCCACAACATGCCTCGCCTCCTGTACCACCCACGGCGTGCCTCCTCATAAAATTAGGTGAGATAATTATTTAAGTTGTTGGAACAAAATCCTTTTTTATAGGAATACAGAACGTCAGCCTTGAAGCTAATCTCATCGATCTATTATTCTCGCGCATGCCTCGCTCAGACGGCGGCTGACCTAATTCTTGTAGCTTCGTCGCCGCGGACGGCGGCTCCCTGCATGCATCGGCATGAAACAAGACGACGCCCCCGTTTTTGCCCAGCAGGTCTCCGACGTCGAGCGCTCTCCACCGGCCACTCCCCCCGTCAGAATCAGCCATGACTCACATGGGGTATGCTGCTTATCATCGATCTTAGCTCTTGTGTAACTAGATGCATGTCCATATTCTATGGTCCAAGTCTGAACTTTCCACGAGCAAAGCAAATATCTCTCTTCCTCGTATTGTTGTTCAGTATGTAGACTAGTTGAAATTGAATCTGTACAATTTTGCTCACCCCGTTTTTGCCCAGCAGGTCATTGTTGTTCAGTCTGTAGACTAGTTGAAATTGAATCTGTACAATTTTGCTCACCCCCGTTTTTGCCCAGCAGGTCTCCGGTGTTGAGCGCTCTCCACCGGCCACTCCCCCCGTCAGAATCAGCCACGACTCACACGGGGTATGCTGCTTATCATCGATCTTACCTCTCGTGTAACTAGATGCATGTCCATATTCTATCAGTCCAAGTCTGAACTTTCCACGAGCAAAGCAAAATCTCTCTTCCTCGTTTTGTTGTTCAGTATGTAGACTAGTTGTAATTGAATCTGTACAATTTTGATCGTAGTGTCTCCACTCCCAGCCATACACGTCCAGGAAAGGCACCTTGTCACGCAGCGCTACTCGTGTCATTGATAAATACCGCCGCAAGAGAGCCACAAATAAGTCGACGAAAGGCAATGCAACTAGCACCAGAATAAATTCAAGATGCCAACCAAAGTGTGTCATTAGTTTGATTAACGGTTTTGATGACATGAAAAAGGATCTTGTCCGTCAAACAGGGCTTCACGGCATCCTTCAGCTGAAGTTAACTAAAGTTAACAGACAGTATGGCGCCTGGCTTCTGAGCAAGATTGATGTTGATTCATGTGCCATCGTAGCTGATGTTCATAAAGTGGTTCCCTTCTCTGCGAGGGACGTTAATTCAGTCTTGGGTGTACCATGCAGCGGGAGAACCATTGAGACCTGTAACCAAGATGAGGTAGAAAGGAGTAAGAGGATTCTTTGTGATATTTTTGAGGTTCCACACTTTTCACAGGTTACTGTTAAGTTGTTGGAGACAATTCTTAATAAACAATATTCATATCCGATGAGCTTAAAGGACCAACGATCGTTCAAGGCGGCATTTGTCCTTTATGTCATGACAAAGTTCTTGGCTCCGCAATCACTGGCAAACTACATTTCCACAAGGTATATCAGCGCAGTAGCTGATATTGACAATATCTCATCATACAACTGGGCACAGTTCATCGTCGACGACCTCTTGAATTCTGCCAGCTTGATGCCCAAACGATTTCATAATTCTTCTCAAGTATCAATTAACGGGTGTATACTATTCCTCCAGGTGTGTGTTCGCATTATAATCACATTTTCCTTCATACAATCCTGCACTATTACACACCATGTACCTAATTGCAGATAGTATATACCTTCCACTAAGCATATACCTACTTTTGTTACTAAATTTATATAACCAATGTTTCCTACAGACAATTTATCTGGACCATATTATGCCATCAAATGACGATGTCAACTGTGAAACCAGTCCTAGGATTGCGGCATTTGATGATGACCTCGTCACCCGCATTATCATGAATGACATGAAGTGCAAACACAACATTGGGTTCCCTTTCCCTCAGTTTGGGAAGCTGCAGGTCAGCTATGTTTTAATCAATTTAATTGTCAAATTATCATTAATTTTTGTACTAATTATTTTACTTTTTGTTAGCTCATGAAACCACCAAGTATTTACTCCCGTGCACCAGAAGAGGGCTCTCAAGAAAATCATCATTCGACTCCGAGCGCAACCATTAACCAACCACGTGTCTCCAACATTTCAGAATACTTGCAGACACGTTTCAAATCAACTAAATTACGGTCGATATATGGAGAAGAGGTAACAATTTATTTTTGATGCTCTGACTAAAAT